TATTTACCCAGCTTCTTAACAGAAGATTTTTTTTTTTTTAAGGTAGTAGCAACGCCCCATGTAAAACCTGCTGGGGCGTGAGATGCCAGGCCACAGGCACCGCAGCCTGTGTGGAAAACGTCCCGTGGGCAGGGGCAGCTGCCTGCTCCCGCTGCAGCCCCTCCATGCTCCTCCCGCCCTGCCAGCTGGCCCCTGCTGCCACAGTGCCATTGCTTGAGCCGCGTTAAGGCTTCCCTCCTCCTATGTTCTTCCCGCTTCATGGCTGTGGGTTTTCGTTTCCCTGCCCCTTGGCTAGGCCACAGGTGTGGCAAAGCTTGTGAGGGACTTGAGTAGTGATGGTCTTTTCCTGTCCGAGAGAAGAAAAGGGAGTTTTGCAGTAGCCAGGCGTGGTGTTCACCCGCCCTTCTCCCAGCACTGCAGAGGCAGGCAGGGAGTCATCTGTGCCATGTGTTAGTTGTTAATTTTAGCTTTACCATAACTCTTGACGACAAGGCTTGGTTGTTTCCTGCTGTAGGCAGCATGTAGCAGTTATCCTGGAGGTACGGTGTTGCTGGAAGGCAGTGAAGCTGCAGCTCATCCCTGCGCCGTGGCGCGCTGTCAAGGAGAGCGGCAGCCAGATTCTCCCTCTGACTCGCACAGCAGCTGCGTGCTGGAGTTTGTGTTGCGTTTGTGCTAAACCCTTGACTTCAGGTGAAGTGAGGATGGTGTTAGGCGCAGGCTGAGTCCTGCGTGTGTCTGAGGACAAACCTTGGCCGAAAGGTGGTTGTACATCTGCCGTTACATGTACTCCGTTTAACCTTTGCCCACTGCTTCTGTCCCAGTGCTGGGTACCTGGTGAAGTCTGAAGTACCAGCCTGTGCTGGCATGCTCAAAAGAGCATCCCACGGTCTGACAGGTTCCGTACTGGACTTCTAATGCGTGGGCTACTACAGAGAACTCTTGTAAGTACGTTGCAGGAGGCTGAACAAATATTATATAGCATTAATATCTTCTCTAGGTTGTTGCTGATACCTTTGCTTGTTATAATGGATTGCGTTTGGTCTCTTGAGTCTGGAGCAAAACAATTGAGTACATCACAAAATACCTGTCTTTCTCCTGGTGCTGGTATTAGCATTTTGCTAGTGTGTGTGACCCAGAGAGCATCGTGCCTCTGACAGCCGTGTTGCCGTACGGCGCTGGAGGCTTGCCTGTTTGCGTCCAGAGGTGCTCTTCCAACTGACACGGTCAAGCTCGGTGAAGGGGACTGGTTAAAGGCGTGGGGAGCGCTGGCAATGTGCTGTAGCTAACTGCAGCAGGGAGTCTCTGGGAGCTCCTTCTCTTTCTAGTGTCATTTTTGTTGGAGGTCTTTTGCCATGGTCCACAGCATGCGTTTGCTCAGTCTCTGCTCTCAGGTTTGGTCAAACACTAAGCGTGGATGCAAACGTCTCTTCACCCCAGCGCAGGAACGCTGTGCTCCTGCTCAGCCAACCGTTATGCAAACTTTGGGTGTATGCAACATCGTATAACATCTTTTCCTAGCTGAGGAGAGATGTGGGATCTGTAGGAGAGCTGATGACCTGGGTGGAAGTGCAGAAGTTCGTGTGCTGAAGAACTGGAGGCACGGCTGGCTGCTTAGAACAGAGGTGTTGGGAGGGGCAAGGAATCGTGTAAAGGCTGAAGCAGTCGATCTGAAGTCATGTCAAGTGAAGTGTCAGAAGTGAGACTTGGTTGCTCTGTAACAGAACATTCTTCATAGACTGTTTAACAAGCTTTGGAATTAAATCTGGAAAAAAAAAGTGGTGTAACTGTTATGTCAAGGCTTTCACAAGCTTACAGTGTGCAGTCTGGGCTATGACTGGTGGAAAACCAGACCTGAACAGCCGTGTAATCAGTGCTTTTCCTAGGCAGTTATGAGCTCACACTATGCTCACACCACAGCTGCATACATATTTTCCAAAATACACTTTTGGAATTATACATGCACTTTTTTTAGTATGCTAATCGTCTCTGTGGTCATTGATTCCTGGAGTTAATGACCAGTCTCTTAGAGAAAACGAGTTAACAAACTGACAGCTGCTCATAACAAATCGCTTGCTGGAGAGGCCAGTGTAAGCTTAGCATCCATATTAAATCCTTCTTTCGCTTCTGATGGCTCAGTGGAGCAATGGCGAAGAAATGCGGCAATAACTTCATTTATCAAAGCAGTTCGTGGCTGCAGTGGATTTGTGCATGGGAGCTCATAGACAGAAATGCCAGAGAATTACAGACTGTGGATTTCTGCTCCTCGGAGTAATACTGAGTGGGGAAAGGTGGATCTCTCTGTAACCTCACAGTCGGACTATCCATAGCTGCCGTCCCTGGCACATGGTTGGTGTGAAAAGGCGGCCGAGAAGGGTGCGGAGAGCTGGGGAGCTCTGGCAGGGCTCTCTTCTGGCCCCGCTGCCAGGGGCGCTGGGGCCTCGTACCGCGACCCAGCGCTGAAGATGCTGACTGCTCGCGTCGGGCGTGAGCCCATGCTGGCTGGGGGTGGGTGGTGAGACGGAGTGGGTCTGGGGAGCCATGCTCTGCTGGGAGCAATGCCTGCAGCTGCTGGCCGGGGACTGCCCGTCCCCAGCACCCTGTCTGCAGTGGGCAACAACCATCTTTCGTCAGCGGGTAACCATTAACTCATGGCAAACAGCAGACCTTCTTCATAACCTTTGGTTACAAATAAATAAATAGACCTAGCAGCCTCGGATAAAGCAACAAATAGTCTGAAATTCCCCTTTGCTGTACCAGAGCTGAGCTAGTGTAATGACCAGGATTTTCTGAACACTTTGTTTGCAGTGAACTGACGGACCCAGCTGGCAGCTAGTTTGTGTCACAGGTTTAGCTTGGGACACTGGTATTTGATAATATTAAAGTTACAGTTCCTGTTTCACAGGAACACTGAAATCATGTTTACGTTTTTTTAAAAAAATCTATTATTAATAGATTTACTGTTTTTTAAAAGTTGTTCCATTTGGCAAATGTGCTCATGGTCCAACATGGCAACAGTGTGCCAGGGTGTCGAGCTAGTGGAATGAAAGCCTGATCTCTATTCATGATTTGGAATGAGGGAGTTTAAGGTATGAACACCAAGAAACCCATGATTTATGAAAGGTCTTTCCATTTCAATATTTGAATATTAGCAGCATGGGAAGATTTTTTCCTTCAAATACATTTTTGGGTTTTTTTAACTGGACAGAATCCCGTTTAAAGTGATCACACTGCACAGCCCATACAGGTGGCTGTGTTAGTGCTGCACTGAGCGGAAGCAGTTTGGTTTCAGAAACGGGGTTTAAATGTGTCTTGCATAGCTGGGGGCCAGGCAGCAATGTTCGTGGGCATCGTGTTGTCTGCAGGGGTTTCCTCGCAGGAAGCCCGGCGTGGTCCTGGCTGTGTTGCTGGGCACTGCTCCCCTCCACACAGCTACCTGCCGGGGACAGCTCACACCGGGAGGGAGTAAAAGCGAAACCCGTGGGAACTGAACTGATGCACCAAGTGCTTCGTTAGCTTAACTTTGTTCTTTCTGCTATTAAAGTTTCCACCAGTTCATAATATGCTAATTTCCCCCCTCCAAGCAGCTTGCATTTGTATTTTCTGTGTGTTTGTGTATATAAAATGTTCATAGCACAGCAGGGGAGAATTCTGGATGATTAAAGCCCAATTTTGTAGTTCTCAAGTTCCTAGACTCTTCAGTATGCTAGCAGTTTTGTGGATGCTAATGATTAATGCTAAGCTTGTGCGTGTGTATGTAGAAACAGGGCCTCAAACAGCACGTGGACCACAGCAGCTTCATTACAGAGTTGTATCAGGCAAAAATCTCAATTTTTATTTTCTGTGGTAGTGTTTTAAAAATCACACAGCTTTTTTTTGAGATGCACTGTCCTGCTACAATCCAGTAGAGACCAACAGACATCTTGCAAAAACTCAAAATCAGTGGTTCTGAGAGTGTGACAGAAGACCATGGATTCTCCAGCATTTCATTTCCTCTTCATGGCCATACAGGGGCAAAGAGATTCTTGAATTATCTCCCTGCCCTGCTTTGGATATAGGGAGGTTATGTGCACATAGATATAAATGCATAGGCAAAGACTCTTAAAGCTGTAACTATGAGGAAAAAGCTTTTTAAAAACAAACAAAAAACCACTCCCAAAACCCCTCTTTGTAGAGCCTACTGAAATCCTGACCTTTCCTGTGAGTCTGCCCTGCGCGGAGCTAAGCGCTGGTTTTGCCAGTGCTACACTGGCTCTTCGTACTTTGGTCTCGCACGGGCTTCGTGGGAGTTGTTCCCGGCATCACCAAGAGCCGGCTTGGGCAGCGAAGGTGAATTTCTGACCCCGCTGAAGCAGAACTGCCAGCCAGAAGTGTTGCCCTTATACCATAAGGAAGGTAGAAGTCTTGCTCTTCTGTTTTGTAAGGTGCCAGGTTACGTTTACGAGGTTACGTGCTACTATTCACGGAAAGTTACACAGTTACCAGATGTGACCGACAGACCCATTTTCCTGGTGCTGCATGGCTTCTGCCACGGGTCAGCGCTGTTGGTGTTGCATTGCTGGGCAAAGAGGGGCAAAGAGAAGTCTTCTGGTTTTGGACTGAATTGTTGTTTTTGGTGATTATTGAATGCAGTGTGGTGGAGCACCTAGTTGTGAAGGTCTCACTGTATTATTTCTTGGGCAAACAGAGTAGTTTCCAGGGAGCGTGCGGATTTTCTGTCCCCTCGCACTTGCCTCCTTCGGATTTCTGTCTTTAGCCAGCCTTGGTCTCCATGCACTGAAACACCAGCAGAGGCTTCCCCGCCCTTTTATTTTGGGGTAATTTCCATGCATTTGTTTCACTTGAGCTGCCTGCTGCTGTCTTGGGTACTTGAATCTGTTTGGGGTGACGAGCTCATTGATTTAGGGCCTGATGGGGGTACCATGAATGTTACGAATCAGCGGCTGGAGCTGGTTTTAGGAGCTGCAGAGGATTCTAACTTTCGTTCTCTTTCTGCTTTGTAGGTATTTGTATAAAATGTGGAAAAGGTGTGTATGGAGCGAGCCAGGCTTGCCAAGCAATGGGTAACCTCTATCATACCAACTGCTTCACGTGCTGCTCTTGTGGTAAGTCAGATCTCCTGTGGCCTTGTTAAGGGGCTTCCTCCTGTCGAACATACTCCTGTAGCAACCAGTGTGCAAAGCGAGACCTCATCTCGCCTGCCTTGCTGAGGCAAAATTCCCATGCAGGACTCCAGCTTCAGAAGTTGTTTTTTATTTGCCATCTGTAAGTCTTCAATGGCGTTTTCTTAAGCAACAGCTCAGAAAAGCAGTATTTGGTTGTTTTAAGGGCTGCATTTACAAAATGGCTTCACCCTGGCCGTTATAAGCACTACATACTTTAAATGACTTGTGTTTATGGAACTGTAATGTGCATTTGTCATTTTTACAGAAAAACAGTAAAATTCTTGCAGCCAAAACCATATTTTGCCTCACTTTCTATTTGCAAATGCACCTCTAGTCAAGCGTGTATTCGTCATTTCTGTATATACATAAAGCTCAAAAATTGTTCTCTTATGTTTGAATGTGGTAAGAACACATAGAAACTGCATGTTAAAACACCCTAAGCTATTACAGTATTTTGTTTTTGTGGAGGAAAACTTGCAGGTAAATCGCTGTCTCCTCCTTGCTGTTCTCAGGACCTTTTTAGGTTTCTCTTGCAACCTGGACGCATCTGAAGGCGATGTGTTCTGTGTGTGATTTGGGGAAGCCCTGGCTTTGCCAGGGGAAGGTTCAGGGCAGCGCTTTCAGAAGTGCTTGCCTTAAGTCAGGCATCGTGAACTTAAGTTGGAAACTTCCTCAGGGTCTTGTCTGTAACTGCTGAGAGCTCACTAATTCCCACCGAGTTCAAGGGAAGTACGAAAGCTCAGTTTTCAGGAGTTGGGTCATTTTTCTTGACATACCCGCGTATTTGTTTAGGTTCCTACTATATGAAAATATTTGCCTGGATGTTGAAGGTCTTGTTGCTATACATATACACAGCAAAAGATTTACTCTGAGCGAAATATGCTGAGCGTAAATTGTGTATAAAAAGGATTAATTAAGGATTAGAACAAGAGTAAAAGATCGTTGGCATAGAACCAAATAAGTTGGTAATGAAAAGACCATTGTAAAGTTCACTTGTGAAAGGACAAGTGTTGTCTTTTCTCCTGAGATTTGTACAGATAAATATTGGTTTAAAGAAACCTGTGACCTTGAACGTAGAATTTAGTGACCTTTATAAATGACTCGGGGCCACTACCAGGTTCTAGAATAAACGCAGCTCAGACCTTCAGGGATCTTTGCTGAAGCCTGACAGTGAATGAGTAGCTGTTTTGTTGGCTCCCAAAGTGAACAGCACCCTGCTTAGCAGAGGATTACAAAATACAGTATCAGATAGTGTCTGTGCACTCTTCGCCAGCGTTAACCTAACCTAATTGCATGGGTGAATTCCAGCTTCCTCCCTGGGGCAGGCGTGGCTTCGTTAAGGAGTCGGGATGTGTGTTTGCTACCACAGGGGTCTGTGCGCAGGTTGCTCTGTCCCTCAGAAGAATGTATCAGGGCCGAGGAATGTGTTTTAACAGCAAAATACAAACCCAGCTGAATTGCTCACAAGCACCATGAGCTTTGACCGTCGTGGCGAGGTGTGTGTGGCCAGCGTACGTCTCCGTAGGGCGACTCGAGACATGTCTGTTCGGAGCGTGGCTCTGCCTCACCCCGCAGCGCCGGTGGAATTTTGTGATTCACACGGCGTTCCGTGAGCAACGCACGAGGAAGTGTCTGTCTTCCGAGCTGCTGGCGGGCCCCGCTGTCACCCCCCAGCACGGGCCGCAGGCGAGAGGGGCTTGGCCTGCCTTCTGTCTGCAGCCACTGCTGCAGTCCCCTGGCACGGGGCGTGCGTGAGGCACTGCCAACGTAGATGTGCTGCGAACGTGGCAGGAGGGCCTGAGTGCAGGTGAAAACACACGGTCAAAGCTTAGGCTCAGCTACGTGCAACTGTCAGGTAAAAGCATAGCTTTTCCTCTCAGCTCCAAAATAGTAATGAAATGAGCGTAGCTGGAGAGGGAGTGTTGTGTTAACTCCTTGATTTCCCACTTTATCTGGGGCTGTGCAGTCCTTGGGAGAACCAGAGTGATTCAGGACAGTGCCAGTAGATTCAGACCTTGGGAATGTGGGAGGCAGGTCCCGTGTATGGGAATTGTGTCCTGGAGCTGCTGCTGGAAAGACTTTGCAGGACCCCTTGTACAAGCAATCAAGCGCAAGCTTCTCATGGCACTGCAGTTATGAACTGGGAGCTCGTTCTGCCATCAGGGTGACAGTGGTGAGACCCAGGTGAGATTTCTGCATGCTAGTTTTGGTGCCCACCTTTAAAGAGATGAGGAAAAATTGGGGAGGGTCCGAAAGGAGTTACGTAGATGATTAAAGGCTGGAGAAAAGCTAATGGTGAGAGCCCAGTGTATTTTAGGTATGAGAAACAGTGGGAGGGACATGTGGCTGGAGCTCGTAAATACTCTTAGCATAAAACAGCATTAGAATGTGGTCTCATATGTACAAGAGACAAACACAAGAGAGATCTTTTCTGGACACTGATATTACACAATTCGGATAGGAAATCAAAGACGGTTATATATTGAGGGGGATTAACTGCTGGAACAAAATCGCAAGAGAAGTGGACGATTCTCTGTTCTTTTTCATTATCAAATTAAGACCAAATGTCCCTTGGAAAGTGTTTGAAGTTGAGCCAAGCTTTTAGATTCAATAGGTAGATAACTGAATGATCATTAATGACCAGTGTTAGGTAACAGCACACAGACTAATGCTCCTTCGAAGCCCTTGACATGAGGGTGGAGAAGTACGTTGGTACTCTCTGCCTAAAACAGTTCCCAGGCCCTAGTTCCTGTGTGTGCCTAGAAATCTGAGATGGAGTAAGAGCACAAGCTTGCCTTGCTTTTTTTCCCAGATAACAGGAATGATCTGAACTCTCCTCCAGCAATTGTCAGTCTTACTTTTAATCTAATGGATCTAGAAAGTAAAAGGCAGTAACAGAAAAAGAAGAGTTCTGTACCTGAAGACACTGGATTTAGATAAGAGCCTGATGTTTAACCAGAAAAAAAAAAAAAAAAAAAAAATTTAAAACCCTTGGGAATCATTGTGATTTGGAGACCACTCCAGCTGAGATGTGATAACGAGTGACGGAGCCTCCGAGGGCCTTGTTTCAGTGCTCGGCAGCGAGTGTTTGCAGCTCAGCAAAGGCGAGTGCCGTTCTGCGGAGAGGTGGGAGGAGGCCCTCGGTAGGAAATTCTGCCCGAGTCGGAGTTCATTCTCAGGCATTTCTTTGAGTATGGCTCTGGTTTCGGTGCCGAGTGCTGTCTATCAGGGCACTGTGTTTGAAAGGTCAGCGTGCGGCAGAGCGGGCCATCCTGCGCCTTGCAGGGAGCACGCAGCGCTTGCCCCAGCGCGGTCCATTTCGACTCCCACCATTGCATATCACACCCTTGCCAGAGGGTTTGTGTTGCTTGTAATTAAGAGGAAAACCTAAAATATGCTCACAGATACAGGCACCTCTGTGAGGACCCAGCCTTGCTAGTGTAGAAGTGTGAGGATGCACGGATGGCTGCTCAGGGGTCTCCTGCAGTGATGGTGGTTAGCTCTTCAGAACATGAATGCAGAAAGATGAGGAGGTGTTGCAGGGATACAGTAAATAGATGGGAGACTTCTGTCCCCTTTAGATGTTTTGGTAAAATGCCCGGATGGCAAATCTCTTCATTGTCTTCCTAGGTTCTGGCCACTTTGAGATAAAACTCAGTAATCTATTGATTCAGAGTTGTACAAGATCTCCCCAAAAAAGGGAATCTCGGTAGTGAGCTGAGGTCATAGGAAGAATGGAAAGGGAAAGTGAATGACCTGGCAGGCAGTTTATGTGCTGCATTTCTGCCTCTTTAATGTGTTCAGTGGCCTTAGGGTAGTTGAGCCTTGCTCCCATAACCGAGCAAGTTCAGCAGTTCGGAACTTTGCTCTGTCAGTTAATTTTCGTTACGTCTCTGTGTAAACCCCTATTGCCTTCTGCAAAAATCTGTACTCTTCAGAGCTTTTTTTTTTTCCAGAGGTCAGAGAATTCTCTTCAGGTAGTGGAAAAGCCAAAGGGATCTGGTTTCCCTGAGATCAAGTAGTTCAACGCAGATCTTTATCCGCAATATCTTAGAGGAAACAACTGAAGCTTGTTAGGATGGTTTTTAAATGTAGATTCAAATCCTCCCTCAGCCCTAGCAGCAGTGGAAACTCTTTTAGGCCTTGATTCAGCAAAACACTTAGACATGTGCTTAAATCTGTTACATTACTCATACATAGGCATGCTTTGCTCAATCTTAAATAACAAAGATTAATTCAGGCAACAGCATACACTGTCCCTTCTGTTAAGTGTAAAATTTTCCTTTTGGCAGGAGTTCATGTGCAGATTTTGCTTATGGAAGACAAGAGCTGAAAAATGTCTGCCTGAAAAGCTCATCATCTAATTCCTTTTGGTAGTATTTCAGAGCACGACAGGATTTCTTGAAGAATAATTGTAGTAATGCCAGATTGCTTGTGTGCAGGTGATCAGCTGCAGGAATTAACGGGCTGTAGCTGATACTCGTTACAGAAGATACCTTATCAGGTGCCTCCAGTTTGCAGATCATAATGCCATCCACAGCAGCTTATCAGGCTAAAAATTTTAATCTAGTGGCAATGACTGTAGAAACTACAGTAAGATAAATCTTTACAATGAGGAATATCAGTTTGTTATTTGTTACTCTGAGGGTGTAGGAGATGGGCAGGGAATGAGCTTTGCAGAGCTAGGAGTTTGAAGTCTCTGTACTCTTCAAAGCTGAGACATATTTCACTGTAAAAACCAGGAACACATTCTGCTCTCTTACACGAAGGGAAGTGTTTAAGCATGGCATTCGTCTTTAATTTGCACTTTTGCCACTGGTTTGAAGGCACAGGAAATCACCGCAGTTCAGTCAGAAGCCTAAAGCAAACTGTATAATCCCAGAGGTATGCAGCTCACTTCTTACCTGGTAGCTGTTGGTCAGACAGAGCACTCACGGGGG